GTTGCTCCTATGTCAAACACTGCCCTCTTAATCTCCAACGCAGTGACCTCGGCCGTCAACCTCCTGTTCATCTCTGCAGTAACACTAGCCGGAATGGGCAAATCAGCAACCCGGGCCTCCATGTCTTGTATCTGGTTCTCTGAGCAGAAAAGCAACTGCCCCCTTCTGGTCCTCATCAGTTACCCAAATTCCGTCATTATTGTATAATCCCTCTATGTAATTTCTCCGCCAACGGGCTCTGGTTACCGTGTGAAAATACCCAGAGTTTTGATCCCCTTCCCCCAACCACTGCACCCTTGATTTTTGACGCCAGAATACTTCCTCACTCGCCCACTGTCTCGTAAGCTCGCGCTCAAGCTCCAACACCCGGTCCCAGTCCATATTTCCTTCACCTTTGATTGCCTCAATCTCCGTTTGAATTATTCGAATGTTTCGAGCTGAGTTCGTCGTGCCTGCACGACTCCAATCATACAGGAGGTGGCGGAGGGACTTCAGCCGCTGCCACAGCCTAAACATAGGAGAGCCAGTGTATTGCTGAATCCAAGCATAACGTACAAGGAGCCGAGTCTCCGGATTATCAGCCCATCTAGCATCAAATCTAAACAGCGGTTTAGAGCCCCTAACAAAAGGCTTATCGGCTACCAGCAATGCTCTATGATCAGACCCAAGGTCCGTGCAGTGTTTGACCACTGTCTGAGGAAACTTCTCCATCCACATAGAAGAAGCTAGGACCCGGTCTAGGCGTTCCATGATACACGCCGTTCCCATGCGTTGGTTAGACCATGTAAATTGCGGACCAAGGAACCCAACGTCTTGCAAAGCCAACGTATTAGCAAAATCTCTCACTCCTGCCGCCCGGTATGGATTTCATGGCAAGCCGCCAGATTTTTCCGACGCTTCCATCACACAGTTCAAATCCCCCAACACCACATAGGGAACATCTATATTATCACAAAAGATAACCAATTCATTGAGTTGCTGATGTCTAATAGCCACATCACTAGATAAATACACACACACACAAACATACTCAAAAGGGCCATTATTCTTATTAATACCAAACGATATAAAAAAGCTAGAATGCTTAACAATGGAAAGATTAACCCCAACATCCCACGCTAGAGCCAACCCGCCCGAAGCATTCTCCGCATCTACAAGAAAAAAGTGCTGAAAACCAAGACCTCTCATTCTACGAGACACTACGCGCCTACACGATTTTGTTTCCGACAGGAAAACAACATCTGGCTCATTCATCCTACAAAGACCAAGCAAAGACTGGAACGTAAGGGACGGCCCTATACCCCTCACGTTCCAAGAGATAATCTTCATTTATTGGGCTGGGACCAATCCTGGCTGGTTTCCTCCACCATATTCTCAACACATTTCTTCTTCACTGGCGTTGGATCAAATTGCAATCCTTCCACCTCCCCAGCAGCTCGCTTACGCTCTTCAATTTCTTCCGGGTCTGGGGCAGTCATACGAAAAGCCTCCTTACCTTTCTGCTTTCCCATACCTGGAATGCTGGGCTGCTGTCGAGTCTCATTAGTCTGCCTGCTCTGCAGCTGAGATGCTGTACCCTTCAGATGGTACTTCTTCCCGCCGCCATGGCCGCTGTCCGCCTTTCTTCCCCCAGTTTGAGGAGTGTAGCCGCCTCGGTGATGAGTAGAATAGTGTCTATCATCTCCTCCATGTCCCCTGTAATACACAGCAGCACTCCCCTGCCCTCCCTTGCCTTTGCCTTCATGTCCCCGACCAGCACCATGCACATGAGAACTCTGTCCTCCCATATTGCCGCCACTTCCCAGCTTTTGAACCTCAGCTTTCATTGAGTTTTTCCCTTGAATGGGCTTCACCGGCTGCTCCTGTTCAGCATGCTTCGAGGCTGATAAACCCAGCACCACTGGCCTGCTACCCTCTTCATTACGGTCCTCTTCCATCTCCTCTCCCCTCTTCTGTTTTCGCCCCTCCTGGCCGAAGCTACCAGTCCGAGGATTAACCCACACCGAGGATTGCATTGCAGGCCGCAAGAGTTGGGGGATGAAGGCAGTCTCCTCCACTCGATACCCGATGACTTCAGTGGATAACTCGGGGCCGTAATGTTCAATCCCAACTGGGTCTGGGAATGAGCAATTCGGAGCTATGTGACCAAGCCTGCCACAATGATAGCACAGCATCGGTAAGAATTCGTACACCAATGTCACCCAGAACTCTCTTGCTAGCGGGTTACTCGCGTACACCTGCGATCAAAGGGGCTGCATCACATTTATCAGCACCTTGGCCTTGATGAAGTGACCCGGCATGCCTTGAATTGCATATGCCCCTGCCTCCATTACCGAGCCAATCTTCGCCCCTGCCACCCGCTTCCCAAAAGCTACAGTTCGACAGTGTGTGGGGATTCCCCACATTTGAACCCAAAATGGAACCATTGTGAAGGAATCCACTAAGGGCTTGGTAATCTGACTCCATGGTTTCAACTGCAAAACTCTCTCCTTCACGGTCCAAGGAGTCCTGTGCAAGACCCAGTCTCGATCAGCCTCATCTGCAAAAAAGAACTGCAGCAGTCCCATCTCAGCCTCCAGCACCCTGACTTCCACCGCGCAATTCCATTCCCCATTCACTATCTTGCTGATCACCGCCAAGCTCGGCGGGTTATCCATGAACAATCTGCCCAATAAGCTCATCTTAGCCCATTGCACCCCTGTAGCCACATCATCCATCGAAAATTCTACGACTTGATCCATCGCCATGGCTTGGATACCTGCAGCCACTTCATCTACCTTCATCGCATCAACCTGCTTCTCAATTTCGTGTTCCCCAGCCACCAGCGCGGGTAGCCCCGCCGTCACCTGGTCAGCAGGCACATCACCAGAGCTCGGCCTGTTCGGCCCAATCACCGTCGTCTCCGGCAGCACCACCTTCATCTGATCAACTGGAACACCACCAGTGTTCGACATTTTCCAGGCCCAGATTCTCTGGATACACCAGTAAAGACCCCAGATTAGGCCGATGCATGGCAACACCAGTATGCAAATGATACCCAGAACTCCCAACCACATAAACATAAGGATTGGAATCGTACCTCTCGAATAAATTCACCAATGATTTGGAACTTCTTGCCGCCGATATAAACTCCACCAATGAAGACACCGAGTTCTTGTTGGTGAGTTTCCCAGTCTCGTTTGAGAGACTAAATAGGTCCATTCTGGAGCTAATCGGAGAACCGTACTCTGGACGGATTCTCGATTCGGGTTTATCTTCCCCAATTTTCGTATCTGGATATACCGAGAGAAATAGTCTATTTCTCTAACTCTTCGCTTCGTAGCTATTCCTCCCCAACTAAGAGACCCGTCTTTAGCAGCCTCTCCAATCTCCTCCTCCCTGGATTCCGATGGAAGTACGGCGCCGATTTTTACTCTCTTCGACGCCAGCTGCGCCGCCGTCTTCAAAACCCTAATCAAGCCGCAGATGACGCTCGCGATACAAACAAGGAGAGAGGCGAGAGAGTCTCGCATTTTTTTTCCTCTCTCTTTCAATTTGATCACATTCATAAGTTAAGTATTTGTAAAAAAATTATAATTTGTATTTTGGGGTCGGGTTTACATAAAATACCGAGATATGTGCTTCAGATAGCACATTTGATTGTCAATAATATTTCATTGTATATAGCAAAAATAATACACTAATTCATGCACCATATCGATTATATAATCACAATCTTATCCCCATTCTACTGAAATAATTGGTTCCACTAGTAAGGCATAAGATTCCATTGCATATGATTGCAACTAAATCATATTTAGCAGTTATATTGAGATTTTAAGGATCATGCTTACAATTATACGACTTCTATTTGCAATGGTGTACAGCGTGGCAAAGTTTAATGATCTTTTAGTACATTCTGTCATCTTTATAAGAAAATTCAGTACCATTAATGATTGCTGCATGATCCTATCTAATCCGGATAAGATAAGAGCAGCCTACTTTAAAGATTCTTAATTTAAAGGATCCACAATCCAATTGAAAATGGAATAAAGGATTCATAATTTGAGATGATCAAAAGAAGTGGTATTCAACCCAATTCAATTGATGGGTTGGATTGAGTAGGAATATTTTAGATTTATGGGTCTGAGTCAAATTGGTATCCAAACCATAAAACTTGCCTCAAAATCTAACCCGACCCGAGTAACCCATTCGGTCAACTCAACCGCAATCTAAATTGACTATAAGTCAATAACCCGTAACCCGCCCGATCTGCAACCCGATTGACTCGTAACTCGACTGATCCGCAATCCGATTAACCATAATCCAACTAATCTGTGACCCGCCCAATTTACCTGAATAATTGCTATATTATACAATAAGTTTTTTTTTGTTCTAAACCTAAGTAAATCCAACAAATAAACTAATTACCATTGATATTCACATGCCTCCTAATAGCTTCCCCATACATGAAGAAAACAAAGCATCCATATTACTAAATTTGTGTCCAAAACATGAAACCAGAACCATCCTAGTCCACCTACTCTCACCTTAAAAATACACCATGTTGTACGAAAAACAAATTTTCTCTGCCTGCTTTCGTAAAAAAAAAAAATGCCTGCTTCATTTTCTTAAACTACAATCTTGCATGAAAATAATTATAGATTAATAGTATCCATCTATAAGGAGGGATAAAAAGAAACAAGCAAAAGCTTTTTGATTGTTAAGGCAAAAAAAAAAAAAAAAAAAAAGCTTTTTGATTGTTTGCTTTGTCTGGAGGCTGGCGGCAGTCCCGCAACCACCCTGTCATATAATTATTTTATAATTAATGCAAACTTGTTGGTTTTACATTAATTGCATAGAATTGTTGCTTAAACCCCTCATCCTGACAATAATTGAATATTAGCCAAATGCATTGCATGACAGCAAAGTACATGAGATGTGGAAGGATGTTTATTTTGGTACTTTGAGACAACCCAATTCTTAGGCCTACTATATATATAATGGACATAAAAGGGACAGTGAAGCTAAAAACAAAACAATTACAAACAACCAAAATCCCTTCAGCTCTTAAGACCTTTTCAAATAAATATGGCTTCCTGCCATGTCCGGTCAGTAAGTTTGCCTTCTCAAGCTTCTCATCCTCTAGCTTTCTCAATCATCCAACAGCAATTGAATAAGCTCAAGGCAAATCCTCGACCAGGTGGATTTATTGGACACAATATAATCACCCTTGAGTCTTTGTCACATTGCATAGACGACTTGCTTCTGACCCAACTTTCTGAACACCACATCTCCCATGAACCTGCCACTAGATTTGCTGTCGAAAACTTGTTAGATGCGTCGATCAAGTTGTTGGACATGTGCAGCTTAGTACGGGATGTTTTGTCACGAATGAAGCAGTCGATGCAAGATTTTGAATCATCTCTCAGGAGGAGGCGATCGGACTCATGCCTGTCCAACCAAGTTGATTCATACTTGGTCTGCAGGAAAGGGTTGAGTCATTTGGCCTCCAAGAACATGAAGATTGTGGAGAAGAGGCGAGGGACCATGTCGTCGGAGAAGTGCTCCAATATGGCTGGAGATCTTGTTAGCTTATTGTGGGAAGTTGAGGAAATATGTGTTGCAGAGTTCAAGACCCTTTTGTGCTTTGTTTCTGCACCAAGAAAACAACATTCCTCCATGGTCTCAAAGCTGATGCATTCAAAGAAGGGGGTGGAGAGAGGGGAAATTAGTGAAACAATAGTAGAGAAGATTGATGCTGAAATGTATGCCATCAAGTCAAGCAAATTCGCCAATGCAGAACAAATTCATGGCTTGTTGAGAGGACTTAAGGGGTTTGGATCAAGGTTAGAGGAAGCAGAGGTGGGATTGGAAGGTCTTTTCAGAAGGTTGTTGAGAATAAGAGTTTTGCTTCTCAACATTCTCAGCAATTAGCTGAATCGTTATGGTTCTAATATCAGTTCTCTAATCTCTAATGTTATTTCCATCATCATGGTATAATGTACAAAATCGTATGTAGATATCTAGTTGTGGAAAAAGCAATGCTAAGTTTAGTTGTTAATATGACCCTCTATGTGCTTGTTTTAATAGACATGATACTTATATTCCAGTTACGCGCACTGCAAAAAAAAAAAAAAACTTTTAGCGACGTTTTTTTTGCTTTTAGCGACGTTTAAACCGTCTGTAATTGTTTTGCGACGGTCACTAAACCGCCTGATGGAACCGCCGACACTGCAGCCGTCTTTAAGTGTACAGGCGGTTCTTAAAAACCGGCGGTGGAGGGTCTAGATGCGGTTTTTAGATGCGACCAAACTGTCGCTAATTGTGTTTTTTTACGTTGCAACCGCCGGAAATGGACTGTACAATAGCGACGGTTTTCTCCGTCGCTAAAAGATGACAAATTTTTTACAGCAGCTACCATTTTCTTGGTTTTAGTGACGGTTTTGGCTGTATAATTTTGCATCAATTTTCTGGTGATTTTGGCACCTATATATTCATCTGGATGCATTAAAAAATACTAACATATATTGAATTACCAAAATATCATCATTATCATTTGAAAGTTAACCAAACTCTGAAAATGAAAATTCTCGTAAAGTTGTAGCAACTATTCAATGGTAAACAAATAGTAACTAAAGATGATCCACAAATTTTCTTTCTCCATCCTCAACCTTGATTCTCGTCCTCTTCTTTCTGCACATGTTCCTAACAATCCCAACCTTAAAAAACTTCATTAGAACACATATAAAATCAGGCAACTATCATATGAGTAGATATGTGGCAAAACAGAAGTGCAGCTAAAACCCCAAAATCATGGAGCTGACATCAACTTATAGTCAGTGGACATAATTAAGTTTTAAGGAAGAAAAGAAACCAAATCAAGCCAACAAAAAAAGAAGAATGAGAAAAAATTTAATCAAACTAGCTAGCCAGTTGCCATTCATATGATTACCTAGTCAACGAAACATAAAGCAAGCACTATTGATATCTTTGCATTATATAGTGTCAAGCATCAAAGTGGGAGCAAGCAAATCCCAAGCGAACCTAGAAATAGCAATATATAACGAATGAGTTTTCTAAAACGTTTCCTTCCCTTTCCTTTTCTTAATTGGACCAAAATACTACTATATCTATATAATCCCAGAAATCATCCCCAACACAAACCCAGAAATCATCAATCTCGTACCTGTTTGTCTGTTTGTTTCTATCTATTAACTTCCTCAATTAATTTTCCTTCCACAAAAACAGAGTATAAATGTTTGCAAGAGAGGAGGGATGATAGGACGACACATGGGGAGGTCACGTGGCAGCGAGAGTTCAAGCACAAAAAGTAGTAACTAGCTAGCTATACGCTATACAATGTATATCTATCTTCTTCGAGAAATAGAGAAAAAGTAATAACTAGCTAGCTATACATTATACAATGTATATCCATCTTCTTCGAGAAATAGAGAAATGTTTACCTGTGAGTTTTCATCATCACTTTTGCTTTCAAAATTTTGTCCCAGAAAATTCTGAACAATGAATTTCTCCATTTTATCCATTTTCTTTGACATCCTCTTCATTTTTCGCACTAACATTGTTACTTTTGCCGATTCAGATATTGAGCTATGATAAGTCGATGCAACCTCAGCTTGTGTGTATACGCTAAAATATCTTGTTGGAGTTGGCCCCATTCCAACAACTCGAACCTGTCCAGCATGCTCTGGACCAGATAGTTCTTGAAAAATTTGCTCATTCATATTGTTATCACTTGCATTATCACTATTGCTTCTGGCAGCCTGAAGTGCCCAGGCGCTCTCCTATAAATACATGAAAACCATCAAAGGGCAACATAAGGATAGGTGCAAGAAATAAAAAATCTTAGGGGGTGATTTCAGTTTTTTACCATGAATCTTTTGGTGTAATCATTCACATAGTGGCCATTATTTCTTGTATGTGTAAGTTTGAATAGTTCAAGTCTATCAGGAGCTTTTCCGGTGGCCATTTCCTACATGCATATAATTAATACCAACATCTCTTATAGGCATATCATCTTAAAACCACCAAACAACTACATATAATTGATACCAACATCTCTTATAGGCATATCAATGCTTACAACTTCTTTTGATGTCCTCGCATGGCTCTTTCTTCTAGAGGTATGAGGCGTTTTCATCATCTTAGCATTTGTGGTATTTATCTCGCTTATTTGCTGCACAAAAGAAAAACAAAACAAGTAAAATAGCAAGATGATAGATTCAGATGTTTTATAAAAGGGAAAGGAAATCCAACTAGTCCGCACCTTGCTTCCCTCGCTATACCAACTAGCTGCCAAAGTATACCATTGGGTGGCATCCTCCACATCCTCTGGAACTCCTCTTCAAATATGGATTCCATCAATAATTCGGGGTCGAAGTGGTGGGCTTACAGTTCCTTCTTGTACTCCCTCCACTTCTTGTCCACTGACTGCAAAATCCATTTTTCTACACACGCGGGGTAACAGAAATTCGACTATAAAATAAAAACACATATGTTAGCTTTGGAGGAAAACCAGTATAGAAACACAAAATCATTATTGAGCTAAAAGGCCAATCATATACACCAGTATACCTTAGTAAGAGCCAATATTTGTGCATGGTAGGGTTTGAACTCCACCCTTGTCCAATTGGGAAACGACAAGGGAGTGAAAAGATTGTTTCTTGCAATGGTCCCCCAGAAAAGATCCAAATAGAGCTGTTTCAGGTCTGCAAGGAACTCCATATTTATTTACTTCAACATTGATACGCTCACTTGCACTAAGATTCCACACGTCTGGCACCCTTGTCTTACCTCGCTTATTATACCTTCGACTAGTGTTTTCATCTACAAAATCAAATTGTCATAGTTTTGACGAACTAGCCATGTGTATGTATATACACTATGATGAATATCATATAGAGTTCATCATTACTAGCCCACCTGTATGCCACTTGTCCTATCTAAGTAGCATGCATGGAACCCAACCACACTAGTATGCCACATGTCCTATCTATTTAAACCCTCTCAAACACGTATCCCACAATTCAATCTCCAAGCCATTCAAACATATGTACTTCCATCAATATTTGAAGAAAGAAGATTAGATTACCTATATAGTTAATGAATTCATCTTCTTCACCTCTAATTTCCCTTTCCTCATTCTCTTTTGAATCCATGTTTTATTGTTGAACTTCGCGATATCGACTACCACTTGAAATATCAGATTCTGTCACAATTCTCAGTTTCTTCAAATTTCTTGATCTTATAGTCATCCTGCAAAAGAAAAAAAATACAAATAGCCGGAAGGTATAAGCATATTACAACAGTAGAAACATCTAGGAAACAAATAACGTTAAAACACCCAAATTACTCTTGGGAAAAATGATCACCTTCATTTGGGAATATGAAAATGGAATCCAGAACAACGAATAAACTTCCAGAATCAAACATCCATTCACTAGTTTGTCTATGTTGTTCGCATTAAGGCGGGTGTGACCTCGACGCTTTCTCTTCTCCCCATCAATGAACACTCTGAATTATGAAATGATGTTAGGCACAATTTCAAGACTTAAAGTACTTTGGAAAACCACTTATAAAACTATACTTAATGTCTAAAGTTTTTTATCTCATCACAATGCCTTAGCACATAACGATGTGCTTGCTCTTTTGTTTTCTCATTTAACTCAATATTTTTGGCTTTTCCTATATGCTGCCCTCTACAGTTGAACTTGAATTCAATGGCGTCATCATTCACAAATGCTACTTGATTTCTCAGTGGGCGATTGAACCGAGTTTCCTCTCCTTCCATATATCGGGAAATAAATGACATACATTCATCCGCAATGTGACCTTCTGAAATCGACTCTTTAGGAGAAGCTCGATTACGGACAAAAGATTTCAATTGACCAAAATACCTACCAAACACAAAGGAGATATAATGATTTCAAGAGATTTAAGAGAACGACCAGCTCATAGTTTGGAGAATAACCTTTCTAAAGGGTACATCCATCTAGAGTAAACCGGTCCACCGAGTTTTGCCTCTTCTGCTAAACGAATTAACATATGTACAATAATAGTGAAGAATGATGGCACAAACGACTTTTCCATGTGGTAAAGAGTCAAAACAACTCGAGTTTTCAATTTTTCTAGTTCATCAACATTCAACACCTTGGAGCACAAAGATTTTAAGAAGGAACCTAACTCAACAACAATATAAGTTACCTCTTTAGATGGACTACATGAGCGTTAGACTGCTGGAAGAAGATCCTCTAGTAGGGTGTGGCGGTCGTGGCTCTTTAGTCCTAATATTTTTCACTACTCAATGTTTACACACCTTGCTATATTTGAGGCATATCCATCTGGCATTTTCACATGCTTCAATGCTTCACAAAGAGCACATTTCTTATCTTTGTTCATTGTAAAAGAAGCATTAGGTAGTTGAGTTCTGCCATTGAGAAAATCTTTAGGATGTAGTTCTGCCCTTATATTCATTTCCACCAAATCTCGACGTGCTTTCAAGTTGTCTTTTGTTTTCCCCTCGAGATTTAACAAAGTTCCAACTAGATTATCACACACATTTTTCTCTATATGCATCACATCCATATTGTGATGAAGTAGATTATACTCCCAATAAGGCAACTTGAAAAAAATACTTCTCTTCCTAAAGAATTTCTTCCAATATGTATTTGCATCACTTCTTTTCCTCTTCCCTTTAGTTTTTTTCTTCGCACATAAGAACTCCATTCCTTCTAACTGCTCTAACACCTCAGTACCAGTCATTCATATTTGTGCTAACCCCAACTCTTCTGTTCCATCAAAAAATTCACATTGATGGCGAAAAGGATGATCTACATCCAACCAATGACGATGTCCCGTGTAGCATTCCTTATTGCTATGATTCAGCCGCCTTGAATATGTTGATTTACTACAAACGGGGCAGCCAAACTTTCCTTTTGTGCACGATCCAGATAAATTTCCATAGGCTGGGAAATCATTTATGGTCCACATCATGGCAGCACGTAAGGAAAAAGTTTGGTTCATGGAGGCATCAAATGTAATGACACCATCCCAAAGCTTCATCAAGTCATCTATTAGCAGCGGTAAAT